GAAGGCGATAAAACGAAACCGGCATCCAATCGGCTACAGCCACAGCCACAAGGAATGTAAGAAGTAACCCTTTTCTGGATCACAAAAAGGAAAGAATAATAAAGAAACTGCTGGATTTGCACTTATGCTTTACCTAATATGTACGATTTCCCAGAACATCTTCCTTTTTCACTAAAAACGGTTTTACAAACTGTCTAATTACGGGAAAAAGGGTTACAAATTTGTGCCATTGCTCCTTTTAACAAGCAGATCAGAAAACCGTTATCGAGGTATTCCGTGGGACTGATAGTTCACAAAAAATGGAAAAGAAAGGCACATGAATTCACCAAAAATCCCTGTAAAAAGGAATTATCAAATTTATCGCCTCCTTACATCTCGTATGAAAAATGATGACAGTTCATCTTTGCATAGGAAATTTTCGATTGTTGGACACCAAACTGCACATTAGCCCCTCGTATTTAAAGGGCGAACTCTTATCAGGAATGATATCTAAGCCCCTTCCAGCGAAAAATCACCAATCCGCAGGGTTACCTCTATTGGATATTAAATGATGCCTCAATAAAATTCACATCTTCGTGCCTTTTTAAAAAAAACGGACAAAAACAAATAAAATTAGTTCTCGTCCACTAACCAAAAAAACCCCATAAACATGCAATCTTATACGGATATTTCGCAAATGCCAAAAGGACACGGCAGTCTCAGTTTATGGTAGAACTTTTGCACCTGCTTTTTCCCGGCTTTGCATTTCAAGGGGATAGACACTACAGGACAGCTGTTATAAGCAAAATTAAAATCCACATAAAGAATCAAATTTTATGACAGAATTGTCAAGTCAGTTAACTTTACCTTTTCTACAGGAAAAAATTGCAAACGACGCTCTGAGAAGTGGTAGATCAATGAAGTGAGATTAAGTTAATTTTAAAAAGGTTAATCTTAAAAAAAAACAAAAAGAAGACTAATCGCAAAGACAAAGGCAAACAATTCTACCTTCAAATTAAAAATTTTCTTAAAATAACAGACTTTTGGCACTTTCTTGTTAAATCGTTAATGGGATTGGGAAAAACTGTCAGAAATTGTATTTGCGTGTGTCCATTGAATCACATAAAAAATAACTCATGATCTAAGTGGGAACTTTTTTCCATATGTGAGGAGAGAAGAAACAACCATTTTTTTCACAAATCCGAATTATGGCTCCTTGCATCAACTGAACTCTAATGCCCACTGAAATTACATTTACCAAGACTCGAGGCAGATCAAACATCCCTATTTAGTCCTTTTGCAAACGAATTTAAGAATCTCTTCATTCCTTAGGGTTGTGGTTAAATATTCACTACGGTCTCCATCTAATAAACTAGTGAAGCCATTTTGGAAATTTACAAACGAAGTTAAGTAATCTGAGCACCCCTCGGACATAATTAGCTCACGAACTTCAATTCAAGTGATTACCTTATCACCAAACTCCAGAGGCTATCAGCTTGTCAGACTAGATTACTGTCTTCACCACCTTAAATATGAACACAGGAAAGGGTCAAGCGGGGTCGAAAACGAGAAAAAATAGAACTTACGTTAACAATCTGCAGTGAAGAAGTTAATTCGTCTTGGGAGAAAAGGCATTCACTGAGAAGGAGACCCTCTACTTGACCTATTAGCGATCCTTGAGATGGGAAAATTTTCGCACTTTCTGTGTCTTTATCTTTTTTTATCCTTTGGTTGAGTTCAGGGTTTATTTCCAACTCACAGTGTCCCATAGAGAGGCTAAAAGAGAAGCAGTTAATAACAAATGAGTTGAGTTCGTATCAAAAAAGGCATAATAGAGTAAATTGACAGTGGGGCCCGGATCCAATGTCAAAGAGACATTTCCGACCTGCCTTCATATGGTCGAATCGAAACAAACTCAAGGTGACTGTTCCACCACCTAGATTATGAAATTAGAAATACAAACCCCAAACATTTCTATAATCAATTTAAACGTTATTCACAAGTCAGTTCAAAAAATCGGCATTCTTTGTGATCATGATCGTGGTCGACTGCACCCCCGGAGCACTCCGAAAATGCTACATCAGTACGATCCTTTTCAGACACAAAGAAGACAAACAGCAAGAACACGTACGCTTTCCATCCATAAAAACCCAATTACAAATCAAATTTAACAGTTACCTTCACTCTTTTATAGTTGAATAACGAGAGTAGTCAGGCCTGCCAAACAGAAGTAGAGGTCACATAGCATGATTAGCAACCGATGATTATTTCTAACAACAAAAAAGTTCAAGACGATATTTTAAAAACACACCAACTCTCTACCTCAAAATATTCTTCTACTTTTGCTGTATAATTACTTTTGGCGCGTAGATTATGAGCAAATTTCACTGCTTTTTTGTAAAGCAGACATAGCTTGCCCAAATTTGCCGCCTGAGACACCCGGAACTAGAGTCGCCCAGAGAATGAACTTGCGTACTCAAATTATCGACCACCGGTCTGTGAGCGTTCTTTCATTGATATCTTCCGAGATGCTATCTGCACTGCCATAAATTCATGCTTAGTTCGGGATGGATGGATGGATGAGTGGATGAATTCATCATTAGCAGTCGTTTGCAGCCCACCTAAATTATCTCCCACCGCCTTGACGCTCTGTATCTTTTCACTCAAACCATTACTCACAAACAAATTTCAGTGGTATTTCGACGAAACCAATTCCAACAAAACGCGAATTTCTGGAAAACAAAGACGAATTTTCTGAGCAAAGTGCTGAAATACGATTCTCTAGGTATACTCAACGAATGGCACATGGATTTTGATGGGAACACGATATTCACGCGTGTAAAGGGAATTCAGTAAAGCGAAAATACCACGGCGTGGATTTTGAAGTAAGCTTTTCTGTGGAGGAAAATTCAATCAAATCAAGATATAAAGTAATACACAGTCCCATTTGTCCACTAGAGGTAGTTCAACTGGCGAAATCAGTCATTTTGAATCTGTTAAAGGTCAAAAATATTTGGTGTTTTATTTTCAAAAAAATACACAACTTTTGTGCCACATAAAAACTAGCGCCGTCCATGAACAGTTACGCAGTTCGTGCAGATTTGATTCCAAATAGAGGCTATTTGAAAAAGTACAATAAAAACAACATCCAAAGAAGTGTAAATATTACACCTCAAAATAAAACATGGATGGATAGGAAGAGAAAACTAGGTTAGAACAGAGGCGTGATTCGGCTACAAAAGCTAGTCGGAATAATTTTTCCAAAAGTGAGAAAATGAAAGGTGCAAATTGGAATAGCCTTTTCCTCACAAAAAAGCCTCAAAATTTATAAAATATGATTGGTGAGTTTCAGATAAAAAAAATGACAGCGTTTCCGATTCATGCAAACCCCTTGGTAGCATAACCTAAGTGTAGACTCTCATTCCCTCTGCAGGTCGAATAACAGGCAGAAGGGTAGTCTTTTCAATAAAAATGGTGGTATAAAAAATGTGAAACAACACCGTTAGATAATGGAACTGGAAAAAAATCTAGTTACAAAATTAAAAAGAACTAAAATAAACAAAAATGAGGAAGTAAAAGGTCCAATCTTATCGAGGCATCGTGATGATACGAGTGTACTTTACTGTTAGATCCTGAAATGGAGGATTGTGATACTTCATGGTGAAGTGAGACTTGCTTTCCAAACGAAGTAATAAGCTGCTCCAAAAGGTAAACTATAAAAATGTTTTGAACGAGCATGGGAAGTCTTTCATACTAAAAATACCTCAAAAAAGGATTCACATGATTTTCCATTTATCTCTCCACTGACTTGTAACCTTTGGCTACTGGTAAAACGCGTGCAGTTTTTTTACAATTCCTGAATCGTTAAGCACAGCTGTGTATCAGTCCATCAAAGCAGAACTGTTTATTTTGATCACCCTCGCGCCGTAGAGTGTAGCTCCTCCCTAATTTGAAAACTGAGAGACTTTACCACCCAGGAGAGATTTGAAAATGGATTTTTGTGATGATTAACATGAAAATACTGCATTACGGACAGAAAAAGCATCAATTCTTGATAGTGGCAAGGAAGTACGTCACAACTGGCTAGAATAATTGGGAATTGTTGCGACAAGAACAACGTTCAGTAATGATTAACAAGAGTGATGACAAAAAACAGCAAATTCCCATCAACTAGGAGAGGAAGTCTCATAGGGTACTAAGTAAATGTGCTCCTCCCACACACATCAACAATGGATGACAGACAATAAACTTCAAGGGCTGCCAATTTGCTGTCCTTCACAACTTTCAATCCAATCATGCCATTCATTCTACATTGCTCGCTCACTGACCGACTGACTGATGGACTTTTGATGAAAGACAAATTATGTATCGGAGCGTTTCTTAAGTGAACCAGCATTTCAGCGGTTATGCCCAAACAATCCACTCGCCTTCTACTCGCTGCACATTTCTAAGGGATCCGACGTTTCATCAACAGGATAGATGGCGACACTGTTTGTGGTGGACTACAAGCACAGTTGTTTAAAACTCAAGATATCCGTAACGGCTGCGACCTGTCTAGTCGATAAGGTATAACTCGAAGGTGTGCAGAAAACTATTTGTCGGCAAAAAGTCAAGACTAGTGAACCAGTCGTGAGAAAGTAATATTCTTATTCTCACATGACTACGCAACACTTCGCCACCACACTTACCCACAAGGCGATGTCCATTTTCCTCCACTGATGTTATTTTGTCAAAACTCAAGCGATATTCCTCACCCCTTCCTCTCATTAATGCTAGACAATCACATGATAACATGCGAAACAAGACAGGAGCGGAGGCGGCATGGAGGATGTTTTTCGCTTACACAGAGTAAGCGAAATTCACAGAACCCTCTTGTTTCGTTAAAAAAGATTTGAGATCATAAAGTGGAGTGTTTTAAGGAATAAAACTAGTTCAGATATTATGTAAGACAAATCAAGAATGGCATACAAGCTAAATATCATTTTTTCAAAGCAAAGTTATTTAATAAGGCAAGAATTTGAGGACTATAAAGTTTAATTAATTTGCAAACTGTTAACTGAAAAATAACCTAAGTAGCAAAAAAGTTCTTATCAAAAAATTAGAATATTTTAGCGTAAAAAGAATTCCATCTATGATCACTACTAACATATTAGCATGACCTTAAAGTCTTTGGTTTCTTACACAAAACTACCACATTTACGATATTTCTAAATACACTTTTGAGCAAAAAAGTTGCACATTTTGAAGTAAAGTCTTGGTACCTTGTTAACATTAGTTTGAAAACATCAGTAATTAGCACGACATTTATACTACTGGTCTCTCGGCCCTTTTGCTAAGCTATAGGACGTCTTTTAAAGTAACAAGTAACATACATTCATGATAAGTCTACAAAGAATGAAATAACAAAACTTTGACATACCGTAAATGATTTCTACCCTGGATCGAATGTGCCAACTTCGAATTCACATGTTCCAGCCAATCCGCGATCGGGGCCGAGTGTTTGCCATTAAGAGCATCGCAAACGCTTCTGTCACCCCCAGCTACAGCGGTAAAGAAGTCATTCTGGATCCTCAATGCCCCTTGAGCTGGTTCAGGATCTAAAGGACTGCTAAAAGCTTCGTAAAAGCTTTCTTCAGGACCACTACTATCAACGCTGATGCTACGAGGTGCGAAGGAATGAGAAAATGAAGCTGCTTCGTCAGTGTAGAAGAGCGTCAATGTGAAGAGGCGGCATCGAGCACAGATAGATAAGGGTAGTGAATCGGTGGAGAAGGGAGCTAAAAGTTGAAAGAACCTCGGTAATAGCGGACCGATAAAATTGGCGGCATTTTCATTATAGGTTTAATACGTAGACCTATACGATGACGGGTGGCATACGAAATGTGGTTGCTGTGGAACATTAGTTAATTTCCTCTAGTCTTAGCCCATAATAACTATGAAGAGATGCGCGAATTTCATCATAGTAATGGAAAAGCACTACGTGATTCGCATCCCAACTTTTTGGATAGTTATAAAAGAGCCAACCAAATTGTGATGGAAAAGTCGCAATGAAAGCAAAGAGGAGCGCCACTGACGGTGCATAGAATAAAAGGGGAAGTATGTGACGGGGTAATGCACGTTTGAATTACACGGCTTCTCAGTCTTCCACAATTTGACCTTCAAGTTGGTAACGTGAAGCTCTGCTCATGTCATTGGTACTACTTGTCTCCCAGTTTATAACAGCTACCGCCATATTTATACATCGCATAACATCTACGAAAATGATTTCAGGGATGCAGTAAGTGGCCAAAGATTAGACCTAGTTGTCAACACACTGCGGAAAAATACTGCTGGAAGTTTATATCTGAAGGCGATAAAAAAGTCTATTTTTGCAAGTACCTACCTTCATCGTTACCTCCGTCGGGTAAGGGGAAATTGTTAGCTCCCAGGCATGATCGAAACATAATGCCATCTAAAAAATGACAAATACCAGGTGCAACAACTTCCTTTAATTACACTCTCAAAAATTTTGTAAATATGGCCGCTCCCTACTGAATCTGACGATATTTAAAGACGAAAATAGGTCTTGAACTCCTGTATTCCTACTCACCGACCGACTGAGATGTTACACTCGCGTCGTCTGAGGAGATGTCTAGGTCAATAAAAGAACCTGTTTTTGGATCACCGTTACCCTATAAGACACAATAAGATGTAAATATACACAAAGTTGATTAAGCATGAAGTGTCCGTCTCCACTAAGTACCAAGTTATTGAGACCATAGTCCTCTTCAACTTGCTTCCTAGCCTCCTGCACAGTATTGTAGGCTTCAAAGAGTTCTGTAAGCTGTGTTACCATAGCACCAAGCCAAAATATCTGGCTGGGGCACAGACAAGCGACAAGGGGACCCAGGTCGACATTGAGATCGACCAGTGTTGGACGGGAGATTTGAGATGGTCGAGAGATTATCCTCGACAGGATAGTAGAATCCTGGAGTACGTGAATGGTGAGGTAGTTATCAGGGCCTGGAAGACTGAGAAGACATGCCGAGGCTACCATGGATTCGGGTTCGGGACCAGAGAAAAACGCATCCTGATAAAAAATAGCGGAAACACCACCAAGGTGTATGTTCTTCAAAACCAAAATAAAATGTCCACTTAAAATTATATCAGTAACACACCTTTAAGCTAATATTGTCTTGAATAGAGTTGGACTGAGAGGGAGAGACAGAGGTGGATTTCGTAGAAAACGATGAAAAAGCAAAATTTTGGCCACTATTGGTGTCCCAAAGATCCCAGTGAAGTGTAACTCCTTCAAAATGAAACAATTTCCGAGCAACGGGAGGCGATCCGGTGCTCCCTTCGGCGCCTCTGTTAGCCAGTGGTTGAGAAGACATGGGATCTGAGACGTATGAATTTTTTTGTAAAAGCGTTTCGGTGACAGTCATATTAAGCAGTCAAGTCCTTACTCAGCCCAAAAATCCACGTTTTAGACCAGAACCACGACCAGAGGTTTCCTCTAGTTTCTGCGTGTTCAGCAGCTGCTGTCGTTGTTGCCTTTGGTAACTTCTTGGGACGCTCCCTGTCGTATCCATGATGTGGCAAGGTTACTGTTGTGGTAGTAGATTGCATGCTTTCAATAACTGTGCCTTCAGCATTGTTAATTTCGAGAATCGGAAATTGTAACCGAAGATCACAGGCTCTGTGAGCTCCGTTGAGAGTGAGTGGACATTGGAGACGAAGGCGAAGGTCACGGAACGTCACCGTTGCCCCCAGAAAAACTGTAGTCGAAGGTGCAAGTAGGAAAAAAATTGTGGCGGTTATTTAAGGATTATCTTCGCCAAAATCAACTCACTACCCAAGTCTCTAAGGTTATTGGACCATTTTGTTGGACAAAGTGTACTATTGAGGAGAAATTTCTTAAACTATTCCCCAACAAGCTACATACTAAATAACCGACAATCAAGGCTAGTTCTCTGACAAAATACAGTTATTCATAAGTCTGCTAATGAATTTTCCCAAAATTACCTTAACTCAAGATAAATTAATAAGCAGTGATTAAAAAGGCAGCACTTGTGTCAAATAGAGTCTGCGTATTTTCAACAAGGTATGAGAAGTCACCTATTCCCAAACGTAGCTCAACCCATCGTCGACGCGACTAATGTCAAAAGTTAGTCATCCACCAAAGTAGTATTCCACACTTAACTGAGGGACTGTAAGTCTGACCTTTATCAAATGGCGCACTTCGTCAAAATATGCAGGTTTTTTGCTTTTTTTATACGATAACTCCAGCACAGGATAAATCAATGTGATAATTTAGAGAACGAGAGATAAGTCCCAAATCGCGACGATATATCTCCACAAAACCAGGAAGATTTCAGACGAGATTCTAGAAACATTACTTCTTAAAAAGTACCTCAAATCCTTTCTCAACTTATTCAGTTTAATGTAAAGACTGAAGATCCCTGCCAGAGCCGGTATATTTAATTAAATAGTCAAGGTCGATTAACGCCAAAAACTAAGGCGTATGATTTGAATGATAAATAATAATCATTGGGGAATCAGGATGATTCTGTGAGCGCTTAGAAGCATCAATTCCTATAGGGCATCAGGGCTCATGTTATCTAAGTGACTAACAATACCAAGAGCGTCTACTGAGATGACACATCGCTCAAACAATTGACCAGCAAACCAAGTACTGGGTAAAAATCGGACAATTTCCAGTAAAACGTGGAAACTTTTCATTTGACAAAACATTTCCACACTAGAACAGACAGAGGAGCGATATTACAAAACTAACACGAATGCTCTTCGAAAAAAAATTAAGTCCTCCGACTACCCGTGAAAATCAGATAGCAAAAAAAAAATATTTTACGGCACACGGCTAGTTCCGAGGGCTGAATCATAGATGTTTTGAGAGGTATGATGAATGACAGTGATAACTCAGTCCTCAACCCGAAATCAAGTCATTTCTCTGTCCCCACCCCCGAAACCCGAGGCCTGAATGGCCTATACGTAACATAGGGGGTTCGACTAGGTAGGTTTAGGTCACTAGTCATCAGGCCAAACACTGTTTTACAATCGCGAGTAGCGAAATAAATTAATGCATTGTCGAAGAAACATCAAAATTTGACCAGGAAAAAATGCACATGTAAAGTCCTTCACATGACCTCGTACACCATAAATCTCATGCGATAAATGGCAAGGGCAATAACTAGAAGTACCAAAAATAATCTGGAGTAGTTCAAAGGGACCAAAACTTGCCTCCCTATGATAGAATAATGTGGGCCGATAAAAGTAGATTATTCAAACATAAATAATCCAGAATAAGCACAATAAAGGATAAACGAGGGCACGTAAACAGAATGGATTATTTAACGATTAGCAGGAACCACATAGCCACATAGGTATGAACTGGGAAGAAGCCATTCATTACGTAACCAAACTAAATAAACAAACATCAAGCGAAAATTAACAAGTCAGACTGCCACGTGCTTGTGTCTGGTTACATAGCCAGGGGCTTAGGATTTCAGTACATGACAGTCTGTACTAAAAGTACATGCTGAAAAACAACACCGACAAAAAAAAACTTAAAAAGCACCAGATATTTTGTGTGCTAAAGAGCCAAAAGATAAAATACGCACGAATATCGATCAGACGAGCCGCTCGATCAATTACAACATCGTCCACGAGAGATGAGGCCACAGATTCAGGTTTACCAAAGTTCCGAACAAATAAGTCAACTTTTTCAACAATTTTCTCCACGTATTGCGATTCGGCAGCTGGAGGTTCAACTGTCCTTCCATCGTCAGCAACAGATGCTGCTGCAAAAGCCAAGGCAGTGACGCTTGAGAGCAGAGAATCACCCATTCCGTCTAGAAGTTGGAACAAACAGGATGAGGCTTTGACCAAATAATAAAAATTAGTGTTTGCAACAAGCGAACTTTACCACTGTGGCGAGAGAAATTGTGTGGCGTCGTTTGGACAACTAGTTCCAAATCAACAAATTCAAACTTCCCCTGGAGTTGAATGGAAATTTGACCAACATAGGCAACACATAAGGTCAGTGGGATATTCTGCTCTGCTAATGTGACATTAAGTTTCTAAAATAAGGACAGTTGGCACGGTTGAGAACAAAATACCTCAATGTTTAGGTATACATCTGTACAAACAATCTTGTCGCCAAGTAGTTGAAGTTGGCTAGATTCCAGCGGACGAGCAAGAAATGGCCCAAGAAAGTGATTCAAAAAATATCGAAATGAATGTTGTGTAAAATTCCAGAAAGCCATAATCAGTACAAACTACTTAGTAAAAATCCACGAGCACCAAGAACAGCGCCACCTAACCATATGATTACCTCCCATAAATAGGCGATTTAAACTACATTGATTAAAACACCGCTTGTTCTAAAAATTCTAATGAATTCGTAAATTTTACTCCCCTACATTATCTGCTTAATTAAACTTGTGGAGGCGTTAATATTACGCAACCAGCTACTCGGGGCTAATTTAAAATCCCGGAATGTGACACGCAAAACTTCTACCTATATAATTGTTTTTATCATTGTCGTATCCTCTTACTTGCAAAAAAATTTATGAGTAAGCGAAACTACTCGTCTCTTAAATTTTAACCATGATTGGCAGCATTTCTAGATGCTTCAAGAGGCTTGATCGTGTTCACTTAACTTAGTCAACTTCGTTGTGAGGCGCATTTATACAAACAATTCAGTTAAGCCTGTTTTGTTAGCCTCTTTGTCTTTTCTTGCGAACTTTCAATTGGCAGCTTTGATCAGTAGGTAGCGCACTGCTCCTTTAGAATGAGAATCTGTTGAATGAACAGTTCTGATGTGGAATCGAAACTACATTCTCCTTGGGTAGGGACGGAATTAAAGAGGTGATTATTGAAGTGGGATTTTCCCTTAGAAAGTTAGGAAAGGGTTTTTGATTTCTGTACAGCTTCTGCCTAGATTCTACCCTCATCCTACCCCTCAACTAGTTCTTCTAGGGTAGCTTCAGCTTTGAGACAATGGAATTCGTAAACAGTCTTGGTATTCAGCATGTGTTAAATTTTGTTGAAAGCAAGTGTAGCGTCCCGAGACTTCCCTGAAGACGGAAGAAGCCACAATGCTAGGTGCAGAATATATATTCAGCACAGAGGAGGTGTTTGGGCTACTGGCATGGCCCGAAGGCCAGTCCACCCAGCGAGGTACAAGAAGGCAAATTCAAAAGTTCAAAAGTGGCGCCTCACCAATACTGAGGGATTAACCACCATCGTATTACACAAGTGTCCTTGAGTGATCACTTCCACTGTTCATTCGAAATTGTTCTTTTCTGCTAATTATTCATGACCAGCCATTTGCTCAAAGGAATGCTTTTTGTGTTGTAAGATAGGGCCCACTGTGGTCAAAATTGCTACCGACTGTAACATGCCCATATTTGGGATGTTAACAACATTCAAAGGCCTACAACTGAGCGGCTACCCGTTCAGTCATCTCATTAAACTCTGCCTGAAGTAGGCATCAACAAATTCACAAGAGGAAAGCTGTGTTCATCACGAACATTCGTAAGCTCATGAAAATTACCGCTGTCATCTGATACTGGAATGAACTGGATTAGAACATGCTCTAGTGACTACATGTGAGAATAGAAACACTTGTTACTGATCACTAGTCGAGAGTTCGCATTAGATTGTTCGTTAGTGTCGTAAAGTTCTAAAACTAAAATCTCCGGATCGACCTGAGTGCCACATTGGCACGATTTATATTTTACAATTATATAGTTTTCCTTTTGGTATATTCCTTTAGTCTCAACAATTCAGGACAGATGAAGTAATAGAAGTAAGACGAGAAACTACAGATGTGTATACGTAGTAGAATCAGTGTTCCTCCCTTCCACTTCTCCTTTCACGCTCTTGGAATGGTCAGACGAGTTGGCCTGGATATGCCTTATTGGGTAGCAATAAACATGTTCAGTTCACTATTCCTCCTCCGTGCCCATCACGAAATTCGTTTTTACTGCTTACTTCGCACCCAAATATACCACCTTTTAAGTGATTCAAAAAACACTTATAGGACATTAGAAAATTATTGGCAAATACCCAAAAAGAAGTCCATAATACCCTGAAATAATAGTAGCAAACAGCTTACTTTAAACACAAAGCATTCAGGGTGTTGGGTAGGTTGAAGAAGATCAAATAATGGCTACATTTCCCGCGGGCATTCACATACTAATGTGTTTTCAACTAATTTGTCAATCGAAGAAACTTTTATAGAAGAAGAAATTTTATAATTATTTAAGGGGATGTGCAACTATTCATCCACCGATTCATCTAGTCATCATCTATCCATCCACATATCTTTTCCTCAATTTACTAAAGACGCTGCATCCAACTATTTATCCGTCCATCGATGCAAACATCCGCATTCATTTTTAAATTTATCTATCCAACTATGCACCAATCTATTCTTTCTTGATCTAGCCATCTTTTCTGTGCCATTTTATTGATTCATCCATCCGCCCACATGTATGTCCATGTATCCATCCATTCGTCTATCTCTTCAGTCATTATTCGTCCTTTTATCTATCCATCCAACCTTCCTTCCATTTATCCATCCCTCTATCCATGTATCAAGCCATTCATTTTCTATTCATCCTTATCCTGTATCCTTTTATTCTTCCGTCTATTCGTTCATCCATCTATCTATCCATTCATTCGTCATTTTTTCCATCCTGTATCCATCCATTTTTTTCACTTATTCATCATCCATCCACTCTGCATCTATCCCTTCAACTTGTATCCAGCCGCAGCTCCACATTTTAATGCTAAATTACAGGTGCATTTGCAGAACCACAGTTTGGCGCTGTTTATGAATGTACCTAGTTATTAATTATCTATATCCCTCTGTGTTTTGGGTATACGATTTCATTCTTCATTATAATTGCGAAGGTTTTAATGGCGTATAATTTGTGTCTCAGAAGCAACTCTACTTTTGGAATTGTTCTGATATCATTATCAACTACCATAGCACTTTTCAAACGGTGGCAATTTTCTTTGAAACATGATTTTCTGGTGATTTCGATGACGGACTCTTAAGCTTCTTTTAAGGCAGTCGCATTGTTAATGCCTTGCTTTCCATTGCACTAAAATTCGATGGGCGTATTTTTCAAGACAACGGATCAAGTGTCTAGGCGTTGTCAGTTGCTTGGATATACACTTTACTGAAAAGAAATCCGCTCTGTTTTGTGAGACATTTCTATAATTTCTTCTTCCTTCCTTTTGACTTTAGTTGTAGCTGGTTAAACGTTCAAAGCACATTGTACCCTTTGCATCTGTACGATTGGTCCGAACATGTCAGTGAACTTGTTGTGACCATAAATGGAAACTTTAGGTTCGTAATCAACATGTTTAGTGCAGGGATCGGCTACCAACTCATTTACTATTACTTTGCTTTTCTCTTTCAATCTGCCTCGTGCTAGAGTGAATTCTGGCTTGTCTAACATAAGAGGGAATCAAGGGGTCAAACATATTAATGCTGTCACGGGTCATAATATAAACAAGTTAGACAAGTTCTAGGTAGGGTTTTTATAAGGCGGAGTTTGGTGTCGTTTATCAAAGAATGTCACTATCAATGGTTGCGGCTTTACATTGCTGAATTCGACGACATAGTAAATAATAATTAATGCTTCCAAGTGATAATTTTACTAGGAAACGCATTTTATTTACTACAGTTTAGACAATGCTACTGATATGACATAAGTATGAAATGGATATCACTTGTTTCTACAAAATGAGAGAGAGTAGCGAAAACTTCCATGGAAAGGGGAAGAGCGTCAGTGGAACCATTCATACTAGGGGGCGAGAAGAGGGAGGCGGAAGGAGAGATGAAATGATATAAAATGTACAGGCAATGAGATGGCCATTGCCATCTTTATTTCTTCTGTGTCCGCATGTAACCCCGTATTGGGTAACTTGATCGTAAAGCCGCTTTCTTCTTGTCCGAATTTGGCGGTGAACCAAATTCTGTCACCCTACGTGCTCGTCTTTTGGTCTTTTCAGAGTCCACACGAATCTAAGTGAACAATCGTAGAAGAGGCAATTAAGTGTTTCCCTTTGCTGATCCACCATCAATTGTTTTTAAAATTAAAATTATCCAAATAATGCAGAAGGCTTAATCCTA